GTAGTGTATCCTTTCAGTGATCTCCCAAGCCTAAAAATGTAATCTCTTTTGTGTGTGAGTGAATGACAGATGATCCCTTTATCAGGAGGGCTTTGTTTCGCACTGTTTACCGGATCAGATGTGTCCAGAGGCTTATGACTCCCACAGAAGACAAGACTAAACAGAAAAGAATACACCAGCCTTTTAAATGGGGAGTCAAGCCTATCTGGCATTATCACCTTTTGTTCTCCATGCTCCTCACTATTGTCTTCTCTGGGACTGGACATTGACTCAATTAAGAGGTCATCTGCTTATTAACACTCTCATCTTCTCCAATTTCATGCCCCTCTTGGAGGTATCTATACAACGAACTGGATCTTTAACCTTTGCAACTGTCAGCTGCTCTTCTTCTCACTACAGGGAACCCCTCCTGCCATCTATGATGTAGAGGAAACCCCCCAGACCATCACAGCGTGGATTCTGGCTAGCCCGTTTCTCAGCCAATCAGAGGAAGGGGCGGGAAATCTGAATGACTGTCAAAATGTATTTGTGAAGGTGTGCTTGTACATTTTCGAGTAGTTACTCAATACTTACATTTGTTTTGGCCAAACTGTAGTTTGCCTTCAAACCTGAAGTGCTTTGTTCTCTGTCCTGGCTGATCTTATTTAATGGAAACTCACCGGGCATGGACCCTTTATCTGCAATCACAGCTGAAATCATTACAGTGTGGGTCAGCAAAACTCAGTTAAATAGTCCATAAACAACACTGCCAGGCTTGTCAGTGTGCTTGCCATTGTTATTTTAATCCATCTTCATCACACAGATATTTACAGGCTCCTCCCCCCTTGTTTGTGGGATTAACATAACTCAAAAACCACTGGGTGAATTGACACCAAATCTGGACACAATACACCTATCAGGCCAATGAGTGACCATCACTCATAAAAGCACTGAAAAACACAGCGGAAGAGACTTTAAAAGCCAAAAATAAAAAATACATTACAACATATGCACATAACCACATAAATACACATATACACAAATATATGTACACACATATATACACACACACACAAAACACATATTCACAGACTGGGCTACAGCAACGTGTGGCAGGAAACATCTAGTAATATTATATAACTCCACTCATACTTTTGGTAGCACTTTATTAATTCATGAATTAATAATTTGCGGTTGGCAGCTTCAAGTTACTTACACAAAAAGTAGTTTCATTGAACTCAGTATTCCTCTGGCATATAAATGTTGAAGGGCCATATTTGTTTATCACCAAGTCTGTATCTTTGTATAGCAAAGATAGATTTTGGTGTGATGGCTGTTTTTTAGTTGTTTACTTAAAAGTTCAGTAATAGGCTAGAATGTAACTAGAAAGAGCAAATTGCACAGACACACACAAACACAAAACCTCAGTCATCTATCTAGTCATGCCTTTGGAGCATGATACTTAAAGAACATTGAATGTATTGTATAATGTAGAGAGAACAAAGGTCACATTCCGGTGCCTTTTTCCTAGTAGCAAGAATGGGTTAATATCCCTGAGTGACAGATACTTTTTTGTCAGTCTAACTCTCTTAAAGCAGAGGAAAACCCTTGATTTCTGCTACTTTTTCTTCATATTGCTCATTCTAATGACTGCTTTCTTCCATTACCTGTTCTTAAAGGGTTGTACTCAGCAGAGGTTATAAACATCTCTTATTCTCTTAAAATAACAAGTACAACCATAGTAAACAAATGCATTCAAATTAAATATATGCTGGAACATGTTCAGATAAGGATGATCAAAATGATCAAAGTTTTGTCTTGATTACTAAACTTCATTTACAGAACTCAGAATCTTATTTAAGAATAAAAAATGGCTTCGGCTTCAGGAAAAAAAATGATCAAAGGTTTGGAAGCCATGTCCAATTTAGGAAGATGGATATATTTAGCTTGGAGAAAAGAAGGTTGAGGGAGGACATGATAGCTATGTTTAAATATCTGAAAGGATGTCACACTGGGGAACATCTTTTCAAGTATATGCTGCTATGGGGAATAGGATATGGAGCAATGCATTCAAATTGCAGGAAAATAGATAGTAGTAGGAAGTAGGAATGGTAGGAAGAATTTCCTGATGGTAAGAGTTGTTTTGTGGTGACATGCTTCCTTAGAGTGCGGTGGATTCTTCTTCACAGAGTGCTTTGATTGTGTTTTCCTACATGGCAGAAGGTTGAACTGGATGGCCAGCTATGATTTTATAAAATGCGAAACTGGGATGAGGCTTGGGCAGTATCTATACTCATAATAAGGGCTGGGTTTGCTTTGGTCCCTGGGCCCTTGTATGTGCTGTAGTGGAGTTGTTTTTTTTTTTTCTCCACTGTCTGCGCTGACTGTACAGATGCAATTAATTGCAGCGCTATGGTTCGCCTAGCACCACCTACCTCTCACCCTCCTACAACCCCATTGGCTGCTGCCAGAAACTGAGTGTGAATACAGAAATACACAAATATGGAAAATTCTACAGAAGTGTGCCTGAAACTCTAACTCATTGCAGCATGATGATCTCTCCCAGAAGTTTCGTGTAAATGTTAATCAGCCTGGGAGACAGAATTGAACCTTGAGGGACCCCACAGGCCACCGGCCAGGGAGTTGAACAGGAGTCTCCCAGCACCACCATCTGGGTTCTCCAAAAAGGACAAGTGCCACTGCAGAACAGTGTTCACTAATCTCATCCCAGAGAGACAGCCCAGAAGAATACCATGGTTGATGGCATTGAACACTGCTGAGAGGTCCAGGAGAACCAACAGGGACACACTCCCCAGTCCACCGAGGCAACCAATGCTGTCTTAGTTCCATAGCCGGGCCTGAAACCAGATTGAAATAGATCTAGATCAGGGGTCCTCAAATGTTTTAAACAGAGGGCCAGGTCACAGTCCCTCAAACTGTTGGAGGGCCAGATTATAATTTGAAAAAAACATGAATGAATCCCTATGCACACTGCACATATCTTATTTGTAGTGCAAAAACACTTAAAAGCAATACAATAATTAAAATTAAGAACAATTTTAACAAATACTAACTTATTAGTATTTTAATGGGAAGTGTGGACCTGATTTTGGCTGATGAGATAAGATTGTTCTTGTTGTTGTGTGTGCTTTCAAGTCATTTCAGACTTACACTGACTCTGAGCAAGGGCCGGGTAAATGACCTTGGAGGGCTGTATCCGGCCCCCGGGCCTTAGTTTGAGGACCCCTGATCTAGATAATCTGTTTCCTCCAAGAAACTTGGGAGTTGTGAGGCCACCAATTTCTCTCGAACCTTGCCCAGAAAGGGGAGATTTGGTACTGGATGGTAGTTGTTCAATTGAGTGGGATCCAGTGCCAAGGCTTATTAAATATGTGTTTCTGTGGGTGAGCAGATGGTGACTACCAAATAGCATATGTTCTGTATCAGAAACTAGATCTGATGTAGTCTATCCAATGTAATTTTCTGAATCAACACCACAAATAGCCAAACTGTATCTAAAATTAACCAAAAACTGATTCGTAGCCCTTTTGGTACTAACATTGGAGAGTGATCCCCGGTCAAAGTGGTCCCTGGTAAAAAAAAAAAGTTGGGAACCACTGATCTAGAGCATATTATTCATTTAGTAATACAGGTGACAACACAGGTTGAAAGAAAGAAAAGCAATTAAAGACCTCAATTCAGATCCAGAGATCATCATTCTCCCAGCAGACAGAGTGCCACAGTAATAATGAAAACAGGACAATGCAAAGAAAAAAAAATCAGACAACTCCTGGATCACACAACATACAAAAAACTAAAACAGGACCCAACCAACAAAATTGCCTGAAAAACTAACACTGCTTCTGGCCTTTTCAAATGCCTGGGTAGGAAAATGGTGGCAGTGGTCAGTTGGCTGAGACAGTGATGCTATTTTATGCTCTCCATGGAATGAGGCTTGACTTATCCATGGATCATATCAAAATCCATAATCTGTCCTCAACCAGTACATGAGATTGACCTATATGAGAGTGTATATGTTATTTTTTCATTCTATTTTAATTTTTCCCAATTTTAATTTTTTGTTGATAAGTAACATGCAAATATCAGTAGCAATAGCAGTACTCATTCTCACAAGAATTCACTTTTGACCTAGTTTTTTATTTCAGTTTTCTAGTAATCAGAGTCAGATCAGGACTGCTAAGCAAACAAGTACAATGAAGCAAGTTGCATCAGAAATTCTTCTCTTCTGACCACATGTTTAAAGCTGACAGTTGCATAAGTCTGTTCACACCATCTATAACACTACAGAAGTGAAGTAATACCTTTGAAAAATGAATTTATGGGATCCTCAAAACTAGTCTGGACCTCATTTGTCTAAGAAGAGAACAATCATGATTGCAGTTAAATACTTTCCCCAAGAGGAGCAAATACAGACAGGGTAGTTGAAGGTTTTCGGGCTATATGGCCATGTTCTAGAAACATTCTCTCCTGACGTTTCACCTGCATCTATGGCAGGCATCCTCAGAGGTTGTGAGGTCTGTTGGAAACTAGGAAAAACGGGTTTATATAGTTTCCAACAGACCTTACAACCTCCGAGGATGCCTGCCATAGATGCAGGCGAAACGTCAGGAGAGAACACTTTTAGAACATGGCCATATAGCCCAAAAAACCTACAACTACCCAGTGATTCTGGCTGTGAAAGCCTTCGACAATACATTCAAATACAGACAGTCCTCAAGTTACAAACAGCCAACTTACATATGACTCATAATTAAGAATGGGGGTAATACAACAGGAAGTGAGAGAAATATACTTGAGAAAAAAATATATTCCTTGAAGAGTTATCATGGGGGAAGGAGTATCCACTGTAGCTTTCTTACCAATCCTTGCTTCCATAAGAAGCCAAAATCCAATTATCACAGGGACAGAAAATGAGATGAAATCTTCTGAACAGAGACACAGAACAAACACTACAGGGGTGTTAATATAAAAACAGGCAGCCACGGGGACTGTCTGTTTTTATATTAAAGGCAACAATCAACTCACACACTGGCTATATGTTGTGTAATCCTTTTCCAAAGGTGACTCCTCCTACATTGCCACAGCCACTTTCTAAAGCAACCAAGGATATTTGTTGTCTATTCCTTAATTCATCTGCATTTTGCAAGGGAGCTGGCAGGATTGAGAAGAGAGGCGCACCAGAAGGGAAAAGCAAGGTAATACTACTACGTAGGGCAAATAACAAATGGGAAGCAAATGTCTCAAGTTGCATTGGAATACAAGAGAGTCAGGAATCAAGAGTAGTTATTTCTTGTGCCTCTCTCTATCTGTCTAATGCCTGTCATTCCAAATTTCTCTAACAGCTTACAGCTGCAGAAAGGGGTATAAGCATGTGTGAGTCACCGTTTTAAAGCTATTTGGCAGTAGGAACTGGTTGAGTCCATGCAAGTTGTAGTTTAGATCTTGAGCTGGTTTGCATGAACTATCATATTAAAATGCTGTGAAGTACAAGACTTGTGCTAACTTGGCATCAACGTCAAGGCATGTGTCAGTGTGGAAGATCCAGATGTTTGCCCATACATTCTTTGGCTTCTTTAAAATCTTCAGTAGTACAAGCAGGCAGAAGCTATTCTCAACAGCGTAGCTAGCTCAAGCAAGGGGCTACTGCTTGCAATTGATGTGACTTTAGAGGAAGATTTTGTATTTGTGGTCTGTTTTGCAAGTGCCTTAGAATTCTAATAGCAGAAAGGGCATTTTTTAAAGCTTTGAGTTGCATTAGGCTCCTGAAAATGAATGCCCATTAGTAATACTTACCAGTTGGTTTTCTAGACCCAGTATTGTGGATTGTGCGAGCTGCCTAAAGGAATTATTAGTTTTAAAAGCTTAGGGTTTCAGGATCTTCTGACCCTAGTTAGCAGTTTACTACAATATCTGACAAATCTTGTTGGATCTCTTTGACAATGAAGAAATATTTATATTTTCTCTCATTTTCCTCCTTAAGGGGTGCTTTACTTAGCTGTTTTCAAACTATAATGTAATGATATATCTCTATCACTGTCCATGCTCAAGGCTGTGAGGAGGGATATCATGTGAGTGACAAGGGTGTTGATCTGTCATTAGAATAAATGGGTTATGAGTCTGACTTATTGCATTTTTATATCAACTTTCTCCCATTAAGATCCCCAAGGCAGCTAATAAGAAATACAATATACCGTATATACTCAAGTATAAGCCGACCCGAATATAAGCCGAGGCACTTAATTTTACCACAAAAAACTGGAAAAACGTATTGACTCAAATATAAGCCGAGGGTGAGAAATGCAGCAGCTACTGGCATATTCAAAATAAAAATAGATGCCAATAAAATTACATTAATTGAGGTATCTATATTCCAATGTTTTGGAATACCTACATAAAACTGTAATTTAAGTTAAGACTGTCCAACTCTGATTAAACCATTATTCTAATCTTCAGTGTAAATATGCTTAGTGCTTACGTATTCTAGAGTAAAATAAAAAATGTAATAAAAATAATAATGATAGAGTGAAATAATGGAAATGTAATAATAGTAATAATAGGATAAAATAATAAATGTAGTAATAATAAATAAAGTAAAATAATAAATGTAATAATAATCTTAATAATAATAAGAGAGTAAAATGATAACTAACTTTGACTCGAGGATAAGCTAAGGGGGATTTTTTCAGCCCAAAAAAGGGCTGAAAAACTAGGCTTATACTTGAGTATATACAGTATTTGGCTAAAACAAAGTAATAAAATCAACACAATTAAAATAACTAAGAAACCAAACTTAAAACTAGAGTACCCCCTCCCCCTGAAAATGTGTACTCATTAAGAGCCTGTTTAAACAAGAATTTTTGCCATGCTTTTGAAAGAAGATCAGGACCAGCCTAGCCTACCATGGAGGCTATGATGGCCTTTCAAATAGTCCAGATGTAAGTTGCATAGGCTTTATAGGCCATGACCAACAGTTTGAATTGCACCAGAAAAATGAAGTAGTAGCCAGTGGAAATGTTTCTACAAGGGAATTATATGATCCAATAGCTTGTCTGCATTCTGGCCACAATATTTCGGACCTGCTGAAGTTTCTGAACAATTCTCAAAGGCAGATCCATGTAAAATACATTACAGTAATCTGAATGAGATGTAATCAACATGTTTGTTACTACAGTTAAATCTGGCACCGCAAGGGATGGATGCAACTGACACACTAGTCTTAACTATGAGGTACTGGGCGGAGGCCATTAGGGGGCACTAGAGAGAGAAAGATAGTCCATTTTACAGGGAGGGAGTTGAAAGAGGAAATCCATTTCACCGTTTTTGCTAGTTATTCTCCCTCCCCACTTTCCCACTTCCACAACAGGGACATGGGTGGAGGGAATAACAGAAAAACAGGGAGAAATGGTTTTACTCCTTCAACCCACCTTTCACCCCCATAAAATGGACTATCTTTCTTTCTCTAGCACCCACTAGTGGCCTCTGCCCAGATAATGGAACATTACCAACTATGCTAATATGTTCTTGGACCCTGTTGAAGCCTGGGTATCCAGGTTCAGGAGTGAGTCCTAGATCTGTGAGTTTCTGTCAGCCAAGTCATTAGCCTGAAATTTCAGGGGAATGACACAGGCCAATGGTCAAGGCATTCAACAGGAGTCCCCCATCAACCCATTTTGAATTGCCTCTCCAGGAAGGTATGGAAGCACTGCAAAGCAGTGCACAACAGTTCCACCTCTTCAAGGCAACCCAGAAGGATACTAAAGTCAATATCTCTGGAAGCCACTAGGAGTCCAGTGGAGCCAACAGGGACATATTTCCCTTACCCATTTCCCCCCAAGTGAACCAAAGCTGTTTCTGTCCCATAGCCATGCTTGAAGACAGATTGAAACAGATCTAGATATAACCCACCTCATCCAAGAATTCCTGGAGCTGAGAAGCCACCTACAATCTTATTAAGAAAAGGAGTGATTATAGGTCTTAATTGGTTTTTAATCGTACTATTTGTAAATTAAAATGAAATAATAAATTACAAAGCACTAACTTTGAGGAAGTCTCTTTAACTCTGTGCTTGTCTCCCTGTATTGGGTAAGCATGGTACGAAGAGTTGCCATCATTGGAGCGGGAGTGAGTGGACTGGCCTCCATCAAAAGCTGCCTGGAAGAAGGACTGGAGCCTACCTGCTTTGAGAAGAGTGATGATATTGGGGGACTATGGCGGTTCACAGTAAGTATAAAGTATAGAGATGAAGGTTCTAGAGTTCAAATACGAGATGGAAGCTTCTGGGGAAAGCAGGCAAAGTGCAGCATTAATGCTACATACAATCACCATAGCTTTTTGATATTCCACTCTAGACTATTTCCTGTTCCTAGCCTTCTCTTATCTGCAAAAAAGGGGTTTGCCATTCCTGGAAGCATTTATTTATTATTTATTTCGTGTACTTCTACCCCGCCCTTCTCAACCCCCGAGGGGGGACTCAGGGCGGCTTACAAAAAGGCACAATTCGATGCCTGCACAATAATACAGATAAACGTATAAAAACTGCACTTAAAACAGTTATGACAGTTAAAAACAATCAATATATATCACAGTCAGTAAACCAATCTCAAGCTCCGCGTTCGACAACTCAGAGTCCATATTTCATTCTACATTGTCTATTCCTATCAGTCATCGTAGTCCTTTATTTATCTGCCAGATTGCCCAAACGCCTGGTCCCAAATCCATGTTTTTAATTTCCTTCTAAAGGAAAGGAGGGATATCGCTGATCTAATTTCCCCGGGGAGTGAATTCCATAGGTGAGGGGCCACCACCGAGAAGGCCCTGCTCCTCGTCCCCGCCAATCTCACTTGTGATAGAGGCGGGGCCGAGAGCAGGGCCTCCCCGGAAGATCTTAGACTCCGAGGTGGGACGTAGAGGGAGATCCGTTCGGATCCAGAAGTAGCAATCTAAAAGCCAGTAACACCAGTGTCAGTCAGGTGGTAAATCTATTCAAGGCTCTTAATAATAATAGTCGATGTCGCAATTCCAGGTGACAGCAGGATTGAAGATAAACAACTGGAAAAGCTGACATGATATGAGGATTTAAAGATCGATCTGCAAAGACTGTGGCACAAGCCAGTAAAGGTGGTCCCAGTGGTGATCAGCACACTGGTGCAGTGCCTAAAGACCTTGGCCTGCACTTAAACACAATCGGCTCAAAATTACCAACTGCCAGCTGCAGAAGGTCACCATACTGGGATCTGCATTCATTATTCACTAATACATCACACAGTCCTAGACACTTGGGAAGTGTCCGACATGTGATCTAATTCAACAGACAGCAGAGAGTGTGCTGTGGACTCATCTTGTTGTGTTTCAAATAATAATAATAATAATAATAATAATAATAATAAACATTATTTATATTCCGCTCTATCTCCCCAAAGGGACTCAGGGCGGATTCCAAACATAAAAGGCAAACATTCAATGCCTGAATACAACAACAAACCTGTGGTCTTAGTCCAAACCTGTGGCCAGAACGGATTTAACTATTACAAATTTTGGAGCCATCAGGTGTCAGGTGTCAGTTGTGAGAATTCATTTTGTAAATGTGTCCCAAACCCATTCACAAGATTGCTAACGTTGAAAAATATCTACTTTTCAGAAGCAGAAGGAGTTTTTATTTGTTTATTTGTCGGTAAACCATTCTAGGACTTTTTCAGGTGAAGTGCAAAATACAGGTATATCTGTTAATAAAGTAGATGTGCTGCTGGGCATTACTTTCTTTAATACAGGTGTCCTCAAACCTCTTAAGCATGGTCCCTCAGACACTTAGCGAGACAGATTATAGTATAAAAAAACATCAATTCATATGCACACTGCAAATATCTTATTTATAGTGCAAAAAAATGAATGAACAATATAGTATTTGAAATGAAGAACAATTCTAGCCAGCATAAACTTGCCAGTATTTAATATTGTATTGTTCTTTCATGTTTTTTGGTTGATGAGATAGTCACATGAATTAGGATTGTTGTTGTTGTGTGCCTTCAGAGTTAGGGCGACTCTAAGTCTAAAGTTTAGGGCAAGTGGTGGATAAATGAATTTGAGGACTACATCTGGCCCACGGGCCTGCTGTAATAGAAACTGGTACCAGAAGTAGAAATGACACGGAACTGAGCTTGATATCCACAAAACAAAAGCATAAGTTCTAACATATTTAAACAATCTTTTTCATTCAAAGATAACATTATGCATATCTGAAATTATACAAGCAGGTCAGGCAAGTCTTGTATAAGAAATGACAAACATTTTGAGTCTTTGAGACTACAGGAAAGCTTCTTCCAAAAAGTATCCCAGGGAGACTTATTCTTTCAACAGTCTCTACTGTTCTTATGATTTCCATTTCACTAGTAAAACATAGATCTGATTTTTCTCTAAGTCCCTCAGTGTAACGTTTGTTGAAATCATGTTCGAGGATCTATCAATCCCGTGAAGTGTTCCCTCTCGGGATCTCTAAGGGCCCTTCCAGACAGATCTTTAATCTGAGACCTGTCTCGGTTTTAGCTGAGGCATCCAAAATCCCGGGGTCGTGAGAGGGTGTGGGGACTAAATCCCAGGAGGAATTGGGTTTAAATAACCCAGTTCTTCCTGGGATTTAGTATCTACAAGCCACTCTAAACACCTTCACAGAAGCATACACGAAGCTTGGCCTGTCACTGAACATCGAGAAAACCAAAGTGCTGTTCCAGCAGTCACCAGCCATCCCCTCCAATGCCAGAGATACAGCTTAATGGTGTAACATTAGAAAATGTTGACCATTTCCACTACCTTGGCAGCCACCTCTCCACCAAAGTCAGCATCGACACCGAAATACAACACCGCCTGAGCTCTGCGAGTGCAGCATTTTCCCGAATGAAGCAGAGAGTGTTTGAGGACCGGGACATCTATAGGGATACCAAGGTGCTTGTTTATAAAGCTATTGTCCTCCCAACCCTGCTATATGCCTGCGAAACGTGGACTGTCTACAGATGTCACATGCAACTCCTGGAACGATTCCATCAGCGCTGCCTCCGGAAAATCCTGCAAATCTCTTGGGAAGACAAGCGGACAAACGTCAGCGTGCTGGAAGAAGCAAAGACCACCAGCATTGAAGCGATGGTCCTCTGCCATCAACTCCGCTGGCCGGCCACGTTGTCCGGATGCCTGACCACCGTCTCCCAAAACAGTTGCTCTACTCTGAACTTAAGAACGGAAAACGGAACGTTGGTGGACAGGAAAAGAGATTTAAAGATGGCCTCAAAGCCAACCTTAAAAACTCTGGCATAGACACTGAGAACTGGGAAGCCCTGGCCCTTGAGCGCTCCAGCTGGAGGTCAGCTGTGACCAGCAGTGCTACAGAATTTGAAGAGGCACGAGTGGAGGGTGAAAGAGAGAAACGTGCCAGGAGGAAGGCGCGTCAAGCCAACCCGACCGGGACCGCCTTCCACCTGGAAACCAATGCCCTTCCCTGTGGGAGAAGATGCGGGTCAAGAATAGGGCTCCACAGCCACCTACGAATCCACAAGGAAACCCATAATGGAAGACCATCTTACTTGTCTAACGAGGGATCGCCTAAGTAAGTAAGAAAGAAGGGACCCTTCTACACAGCTATATGAAATCCACATTGAACTGGATTATATGGCAATGTGGATTATCTGCCTTGATATTATGAGTTATATGGCTGTGTGGAAGCCTTAAGTCTTCCAATGCAACCCTGTGGTGGAAACTTTCCATAGAGTCATGCTGGAGAACCCAGAGATTCCTTAGAGAGAACATATTAATCAAATCCATAAATAATCAGATCTGCACAAGTGAAACTGAAAATATGGAGAGCCAACTGCATTTGTGCCATGTATTTATTTGATCACATAGTTTATGAAAATTTGCAATGAACTGGCAGCCAGTCAACTCAGTCAATCACTAGATGTTATTGCAAGGGATGAATGACAAGCTGCAAAATACTATCTTGCAGACATTGTATCAACTGGAAGCTACAAAATAATAAAAAATAGTAGTAGTGCTACTTTTATTTGTCTATAGGTTGCATTTGGTATATTGAATATGTAACAGGTAGATTTGCTTACTGTAATAATGCCCAGAGGAAAAAGGTCATCCAATTTTCAGCTAATATGATGGCATCTGAAAAGCAAACAGATTTCTTTCTCCTTCTTTGTTAGCTCTTTTGTCTCCCTGTTGCATAACCCTTCTCAGCTAACATTTGCAAAATATTAACTGAAGTGCAAACATGTTAGATAATTCCCCACTCAGCATGACTAGACAAAAACATGACTAAATCTTTAGATTAATAGAGTAATACAAAACTTTTCCAAATTCCTTTGAAATATTTTACTTTCTAAAATTACCTTCCTTTTCACCCAGCTTAGTCAAGCACAATACATTTGTTCTGCAGGTAAACACAGGCAGTTCTTAAGTTACAAACAAGACTGGTTCTGTAGGTTTGTTCTTCAGTTCAATTTGGATAGCAAAGTTAACACCCTTGTGGTATTTGTTTTGCTCTCTCTGCCCCTCTTCAGAAGATTTCACCTCACTTTCTGTCCCCATGATAACACTCTAACAAAAATTGAAAAAAAAATGTTCCTGGTTTGAAAGTGTTATTTCCTGTTTAATTGTGTGGTACTTACTTTGAAAGTAGTTGTTATACTCCAGAAGCTTCGTTTTTGTATCTGCCATGAACTATGTTGAATGGATTGAGACTCCATGAGATATTCATTAACAAACTATAGCAAAATGTGCTGCAGGATGTCCTGCAATTCTCCATGTTTTTATGATAGAACCAATTAAGAAATTACATTTATAACCCAGGAACAAATATAATGTTAAATAGTGTAATTCAATTTTGAAAAATTTGGCTTGTTGTGGAAACAACGATTGGTGAGAAAGTTTCAGCTGAGACACCTTTTCCTCATAATAAATCTTTCAGGAGTGAATTTCCCTTCATAGAGGCAGATTTCTCTCACTTCCTGTTGTCTCACCCCCATTTTTAACTATGAGTAATTTGTAAGTTGGATGTCTGTAACTCGAGAACTACTTGTATGGAATAATCTTTGCACAAAACTATAAGCACATAGCCTACAGATTCATGTTACAACCAGCACACTGGAGCAGGAATCCAATACTGGCAGAGGAACACAATAGGAATTTTTTAACCTCCTCTGTTCCCATCTTTACATGGGAAAGTGTGCTTGGTCAAAAAAGCAGCCCTTCCTGAACTCTTTTCTTTCCCATCACTGTGATGATTTGTTGTCAAGTGCATCAATTCACACTTGCAAGATATTGAATGTTTACTTGTAAATACACTGATCGCTTGTAAGGACTCCTGTTTTTTTTAAATTAAGTGTCCAGTTCAAATACTTGCAAGCAGCTTAGAAGTTGTCGAAGGCTTTCATGGCTGGAGTCACTGGATTGTTGTAGGTTTTTTGGGCTAAATGGCCATGTTCTAGAAGTATTATCTCCTGACGTTTTGCCTGCATCTATGGCAAGCATGCTCAGAGGTTGTTAGGAGGGAAATTCAGTATGTTGTATCCCAAAACTGACTTTAAATGTATGGATTTTTGTTTCCTGGAACCATGTTTCTTTGACAGGGGCTTCCTTAAGCTGCACATGTTTTGTTTTCCCTTCTCTCTTAGGAGGCTCCAGAGGAAGGCAGAGCCAGCATTTACCCCTCAGTATTCACCAACTCATGCAAAGAAATGACGTGCTACCCAGACTTCCCCTTCCCAGACGATTTCCCAATTTATATGCACAACTCAAAGCTTCAGGAATATATCCAGATGTTTGCCAAGCACTTTGATCTTTTAAAATACATACAATTTAAGGTAAGATATTAAAACCTAACAAATGACTGAGATATGTATGGGTCCACCGGGGCCGAGTAGGACAAGAACACTATGATAGTTACATCTGATGGGATAAGAGTTGCTTGGTTTTTTTGTAAGGGGAAAGTTGGACCTAGAGCATTTGAAAATGTAAACATCCATTGCTGAAAGGTAGTGATAATGGAATTACTTGCAAAATTGCTCCCTTGACAGGACGGTTTCAAGTGTAATGGGAGACTGGGGTCATATGAAGCCAAATGTGTCCTCTGTGTCACTGATTAGTTGAGCTTGAATTCGGTAGCAGTGTACTTTTAGGCTGCATCTGCTTGATAAATGTATAAGAAGTGGTATAGTCTCTATTGAAAATGCAGTGTGCAATAACTTAAAATTGTCGTTTGGACTGCAGCTTCCAGTATTTCTAACCATGGACTGTGCTTGCACTATTAATTAGATAACAACAACAAAATATATGTCTATTTGGTTTGGATTCAGAACAATAGTGAAAACCTTTCTTGACTATTTTTCTAAGACTCTTGTGAGCAAAATTAAGAAGCGTCCGGATTTCCCCGTAACTGGGCAATGGGATGTCATAACAGAGAAAGATGGAAAGATGGAATCAGCCATATTTGATGCTGTCATGATTTGCTCTGGACATCATGTTGCTCCAAATATACCGGTCGACAGCTTCCCTGGTAAGTGCAATTTTGTAAAATAATAAAAAATACAGTGTATACATGTCTCTGCTTTTGAACTAGGACTGTGAAACTTTGTTCTAAATCAGGCTTGCACAACCCGTGGCCCTCCAAGTGTTTGGGCCTTCAACTCCCAGTAGCTCTAGCCAGCTGTTGCAATTACCAGGAATTCTGGGAGATCACGTCCAAAACATCTGGAGGGCCACAGGTTGTGTACATATTGGTGTACATATTGGTGTACATATTAAAGAGAGCTTAAGGGTGTACGCTTCAAGCTTATTTGGTTTTCCAAATGTATTGATTAATTTTAGTACACTTTTAATCACCAGATGATTGGCTTTCATAATAATAATAATAATCATCATCATCATCATCATCATCATAGGCTATCACTCTTGGCCAAGTATGATTGTCTTCCAGGGGTAGAGTCTTGGTAGTAGATCTGGAAGTGATCTGGATCTGCAAGGTCTTTCGTAGTTATGACATACATTTCCAGATAAAAGGTGGTTCTGACAAGGGTTTGTCTGATGCACTTTCCTCTTGACACGTTTTTCCCTTTTGCTTTCTACTTGTGCCTTCTCAAAATCCACAGCGCTGTTGCTCATAGCTGACCTCCTGCTACTACACTCAAGTACCAGGGCTTCCCAGTTCTTGGTGTTTATTCCACATTTTTAAAGGTTAGCTTTAAGCCCATCTTTAAATCGTTTTTGCTGTCCACTGACATTCCATTTTCCATTCTTGAGGTGAGAATAAAGTAACATTGATTTCCCCATTTTGTGTAAGGAACACCATAACATATAATGGAACTTGTACATCCATGAATTTTGGAATCCATAAAGAAGGGCCCTGGAACCAAATCCCAGTAGATCCACTGTAATTTTGAATTTTTTTAATCATGTGATATTTGTTTTCTCCTCATTTTTCCACATAGGCTTAGATAAGTTTAGGGGTAGCTTCATCCACAGCCGAGATTACAAAGGACCTGAAAGATTCAAGGGGAAGAAGGTTCTGGTGATTGGCCTTGGAAACTCCGGCTGTGACATTGCTGTGGAGCTCAGTAACATTGCCGCACAGGTACTTACAAGTTATCATTGTCCTTAATCATCAGCAAAGTCCGGCTCACATTAGGAACTGTTCAGCCTTATTGATTGAGGGAAATAAATGAAGTTCCCTCTTAAGGGTTTCATTTTCTGTCCAATAGACTTAAACATGTTTGATTTAGGAAGCATTTTTTTAGGAGGATTTGGAGAGTTTCTGCCAGTCAGAGTAGTCAGTGTGATATATGTATAGTTCTGCCAGGTTACTAGGATCTATACTTACTGTCAATGGATATTTACAAACTTGCAAAATTTGGTATATACTAAGACTTGTTTAAAAATTACTTTTTATTTGGTGACTTGGATATTTAATTGCAATTTGGAACAACCTGGCCTTTTTGTTTGTTTATGTTACCTGAGCAGAAGAGTCTGAATATATATGTCCTCCCTGGTATAAGACTGTATAATGAGCAAGTCTAATCAGAGCCATGGAAATTACATGTCTGTAACTTTTAAAGACTTTTTTTCAAATTGTAGCACTTTGTTAACATTTCAACAATCACATTTTTCTTTTTGTTTGCTTTTTTATTGGCATTTTTTTGTTTTGACTTTTAATATAACTTTTAAGACTTTTTAAACAAAATTCATTTTTAAAGACATTTTCTTTAGAACTATAAATCTTCAGAAAGTTAAATATTTATTGCAAATTCCAAACTTCCTTGAACTATGAGGAGAGGCGGGTAAGAAATAAAATAATAATAATAATAATAATAATAATAATAATAATAAACAACTGGAAAACTGACACAATATGAGAATTTAAAGATCGAACTGCAAAGACTGTGGCACAAGCCAGTCAAGGTGGTCCCAGTGATTGGCACACTGGGTGCAGTGCCTAAAGACCTTGGCCTGCACTTAAACACAATCGGCGCTGACAAAATTACCATCTGCCAGCTGCAAAAGACCACCTTACTGGGATCTGCATGCATTATTCGCCGATACATCACACAGTCCTAGACACTTGGGAAGTGTCCGACGTGTGATCCAATACAACAGCCAGCAGAGTGTCTGCTGTGGACTCATCTTGTTGTGTTTCAAATAATAATACTAGTTTCTAGTGAACTGAGTGAAGATTAGGTTGTGCTGCAATTAACACAAATATTCTTCTTTTTAAAAGGTGTTTATCAGCTCTAGAAGTGGATCTTGGATAATGCGTCGTGTTTGGGACGATGGCTATCCCTGGGATATGTTGGTTTTAACTCGTTTTGAAACATTCCTCAGATATGCCCTCCCAACTGCCATCTCTGACTGGTTGTATGTGAAGCAAATGAACAGATGGTTCAGACATGAAAACTATGGACTAATACCGTTGAACAGGTAATGTTCCAAACAGAGGAAGTTATGCCATTTTGTTTTTGTGATCCCAATTGGTGGGGAACTTTTTAGTGACACATTTATTTTGAAGAATTACGGGTCATTTTCCATGGAATGATCCTCAACACTTTGTTGTAACCATACATACGCTCATACAGACAAGTATAAATCACATGCAACAATGTGACCAGAGAGAGCCTCCCTTCAGTCCTCAAGTACTAGAACCAAGTGGAGCTCATTCTCCTTTTATGTAGGGAAGGAAAAACAAGATCTCTGCATCTTGTTCCTGCCAGGTTGGTTCCCCTCTTGCAAGTGGCATAATCTGGTGTAAAATTAGTATTTCCAAGAAATATAAATGGTCACTTTAAAAATTCAGCCACTACTGAGGTAATCAATTGATGTAGTTTTTGCTTTGGGTCCTCCTCTATTCCTGTAAAGTGCAGCCAATTTTCTCTCTTTGCTATTTCCAGTAAAGCCAAAGAATAGTGATCTTGATTTTTTTCAAACGTTTCTGTGGTTTGTTTCAATTTGGCAGTTTGATCTTGCAAATTTTGAGCTTGAGTTGTAATTCTTTTAGTCTCAGAAGACATTTGTGCCAAGAATCTTTTGTTTCCTTTATTTCTGATTTTATTTCTGTATCCATCCTTTTCATCTGATACCCCAAAGACTGAATTTCCTAAAGAGGTTCTTAACTCATATCAACTGCTTTCCAAAGCCTTTTGGTTGTTGATGTGCTTTGAAGGACTTTCTATTTCTATCTCTGTCCCTTTCTATTTTTCGAGTGTATTGGTTTTTGTTCAACTCGTCATCTCTTGATACTTCTTTTATTTCTGTTTCAGCTTGAATTTATATCTTCAATTTAAATCTCTACTTATTTCCAATCAAATTATAATCCAAATTGATATTTAAAAAAAGAGGGGGAAAAGCCTTGGAAAAAGAGGACATCCAGAATGTAAACAATGAATTTAAAAACAAAAATAAATGCTACACCACAAAAATTAATAATATTGCTAAATTGTCAAGATATGTGATTGTAGTCCAGATTAATCCCTTATAAGAATCAACTAAAAACATTAAAGTAACAGGAAGAAATAGCAATATCCTACTCAATTTTTTTAACACAAACACACAAAGCCAATAGGAAAACAGAAATGGATTCAAAAATTAAATTCCAAGGCAAAAATTATCTTATCCCACATTTGGGGGGGGGGGGGGGTTGGTACATTGCTTGATACAAAGAGACAATATAAAAGACAAAAAGAGTTTAAAATAAAAGGTGATTATTCATAGAAACATTTCTCCAGTCTGTTGCAAGTGTCCACCACATTTTTCAAATATAGTTTTTGTTTTTTATCAGTCACAAAAATGGTCAAATATGTACTTACCATGACATATGTGAAAGGGAAAATTTGATGTTGGTTTTGTAAACAAGTATCATTTCCT